TAAACGAGGCATATCGTTAAACAATGAGACTTCCCTATATGGGGCATCCTATATTTTAACAATTTAAACCTCAAAATGCGTTTCCAAACAAGCTTTAATTGTAGTTCAATCATTGATGCTGGTGGAGACTTCCAAAATTGTAGTTCAATCATTGATGCTGGTGGAGACTTCCAAAGGGATCGCATTGATCCAATTTCCCATGCATGAACTAGTTTGAGTTTATGCATGGTTCATTTATCGGATCATGCGATCCCGTGGGAAATTTCCGTCAGTAACTCCAAGTTTTTGTTATGGCTTCAAGGTTCAGCTTTCTATGTTTTACAAGATATAATACGCTGATAGATATATATAATATGTACGCACAATTACACACACAGATATTTATATAATATGTATATGCTCTTGAATTGAGTATGGTATGTAGTTGGTGTTAGAGGATCATATTGATTTTCATCCAGTATTCTGCTTTAAAAAATAGCCCTTGATGGGTGTTTAGTAAGCACATGAAATATATTGAGATTATGATAATTGATTCTCTCCCCTCCTACAGCTTTTTTAGATCTTAAAATGGAAAGATGATTAATTTACTTTCTTCAACACTTTTCTGAATTTAGTAACACTCTCCTCTTCCTATCTCACATTAAAGGGAAAGATATTATCAGCTTTATTCAACACTTTCTGAATATAGCAAAAGAGAATACTCTCACTCTAAATCATGTATTTTTCTAGTTATTACATTTAAGAATAATATATAGCATGTAGCAACAATAATTATTGTAATTTCTACCCTTTTTTTTTTTTTTTGTAAAGTATTTCTACCTTAATTTCAGCTTCATATATATATATATATATATATATATATATATATATGTATGTATTTGTTTAGATATAAGTAACACCCACACGCTCGCACACAATTACATGCTCAATGGTTGTTTTAACAATGGTCAATGGTTGTTTTGTGGTTTCAATTTAAACTTTAATCCTGTAGTTGCACAAATTAATTTCTTTAAGCATATATCACTTTTTTTTCTTTTTATTTTTTCGATAATTAAAATGTCTAAGGCTTTAATTTTTTTTTTTCCATAACTAGAGTGTCTAGGGCTTTGCCTGAGGACCTGCCCACATGGCTGCTGCTTTTTTTTTTTTTTTTAGTAGAGGTAATTAACACACTATTTTTGGATCTAATGGAGGTGGTGGTGCTGTTGTGGCAGCGGCGGCGATGGGTTGAGGTCGGTGGAGGAAATGGATCATATCCGTCAGCGATTGTCCTGAAAATCTCAGCATCTCACCTCAAATTCAATTCAAAACTTGATCAAGAGGAATTGGTCCAGTGTATTTTCATAAACCCTTAACCGGCTGAAGTTTTCAAGACAATCGCCGCTGTGGATGTCGTCATTGACCCACACTTCACCAGTTGACATTCCACTCCTCGACCGAGTTCGCTTAAAATCATGGATTCGGTGGACTATTTCCATGGGGGATCATGTAGAATTGACTCTATAAAACTAATTTAGCTAGTAAGTAGTGATCCATAAACTCCAAGATTTATGGGCTAGATTACCTTAACAAAAAATATTGATAAACTCAAACTCCAAATCTTCTGTCATCTGAACACAAACTCTCTTACTTTCACCAGTGCCACTCTATCAGCCATCATTTGCCCTAAAAAGGACAATAAAACAATCAAAAATCTTCAGATGCTATTATGCAATTATTATAGTAAGATGGAGGAGCCTCCCACACACGCACACACAAACAAACAAGCAAATGGCTAACCACCACAACTGTTGCACGGATGGATTATGCTATATAGGAGATATTAAACATCCAACCTAATGATGATAAAAGTATTCACAATAAAACTAGATTGGACCAAAAGGCAATCAAAAGAAACTAAGTCTATACTCAACATTATTATTTTTATTTTTGAAAAAAGAAAGACCAATCTCAAGATAGAGAGATGGAAGCATTAATTAGTAATCTCTTCTTCTAGGTGGAGTGAGACTTGAATTCAGTGGGATAATGAAGATAAAAAAAAAATAAAAAAAAAATAAAAAAAAGCGGGAGAACGAAATTATAAGTTATGCCGGCGGTGGCTGAAGCAGGCGGTAAAGAGGAATTGGTGAGAGAGAGAGCCAGTGATGAATTTGTTGAAAGAGAAAGAAAGATGACATTTGAGGCTGAAGGAGAATGTTATGTTGCTGGTTACAGAAACGAGTGGAAGCAGAGAGAGGGTAATTAAAATTGGCATTAAACTGATTTCAATTTTGAACAAAATGAGTTGCATAAGTGAAGCGTTTCCAAATAGTGACAATGTTCTAACAAACTCCATGTACTAAAATTGGCATTGAACTGATTTCAGTTCTGAACAAAAAATACACATTCAATAGGTTCCAAATACGAATTACGGCGAACAGATAGATAATTAACAAGGAGCAACTAGGTCAGTGGTCTATGCTACTTAGCACAAGCTTGAGGCTAATGGCCAGGGAAAGCAACTCAAATCCAATTATCTCACAGCGTGCAAATGGGGATTGTTTGGGGTCCTATTTGATGCTAAAGCTAAAGTTAAAAAACACCTGCATAATTAACAAGAAACAAACAGGTCAGAGGTCATACATTACCTAGCACATGCCTTAGCCCAGAGAAAGCCACTCAAATCCAATTATCTCACAGCACGCAAATAAAGCCTGTTTGGGATCCTATAAGATGCTAAAGCTAAAGTTAGTTGAATGCTTAATAGTAGCTGACATGCCAAAGGTTAAGAACACAGTATGAAATTCACAACAGTACTACTATAGTATGTCAATCTTTTCCATGTTTGGAAAATATGAAACTAATCTCTTAGTTGGATCAAACCCTTAGTTATAACAACAATCTGAGGAATAACATATAATTCATCGCGTTTTTCAATTATTTAATAATAATAATAATAACTGATGGACATAAATAGGTGAATGCATTGTTCAGAATGGAAATCATAAGAGTACTACTTGAATGTGGCACTCTTTTCAATGTTTGAGAAATAAACTAATTGATAGAGCTCTTGGTTCTAAACCGCAGATATAAAATTCTTGGGAGGGAGTAAAATATCATCACAAAAGTTGATAATAAACATTAATGGTTCAATGCACTTTTTTTAAAGTTTAGACAAAAGAAATCAACTAACAGTTAAATTGACTGGCCCTATATATATATATATCTGGCCTATCAGCAAAGTAAAGAAAATCTAAGGTTAATCTACAGAGAGAGAAGAATTACCAGATCTTCCCTGTCTCAGATATCAAGTAAGTGCATTTAGCTGGCTGATATCAGAAGTCGTTTAATTCAAAGATGGAAAGTGAAAGGTGAGTGTCCCGAAGAAAATAAATTAACAAAAGACAAAAAAAAAAAAAAAAAAAAAAAAAAATGGAAACGACAACAGATGAAGACCTAGAATGTGTTAATAAAACATCTTCATAAACTCAAACTCCAAATCTTCCATTATCATTATCTCATCACAAACTCTCTTCATTCACCATTGCCACTCTATCACCCATATTGCTGGACTTTAAAATATCTTAAACAATAACTCTTTTTCCCTAAAAGATAACAAAAAAATCAAAAATCATGAAATACCCATGCATATTGTTATGCTATTATTACAGTAAGTTGAAGGGGCCTCCCATACACACAAACAAATAAACAAATAAAAAGGATTAAGGGGCCTCTTTGATGATTTTCCCATATTGAGAGGTAAGAGAACCTCAAATAAGATAATAAAAGAGGCAATTAAATCCTCATGTAAGAGATCAGTACCATATCTTTGTCTCGTGAACTAACAAATGCAGTTGCAAAACAGATTATACACATATATATATATATATATATATATATATATATATATATATATATATATATGAGACCTTACAAAGATGGATTATGTTATATAGGAGACCTTATGATGATAGAAGTATCCCCAGGCCTCACTAAAAAGAGTATTATTCATGATACTGAGGTCAAAGGTCTATGTTACCTAGCACATGCTGGAGGGCTAGGGGCCCGGAAAAGCAACTCAAATCCAATTATCTTACAGCACGCAAATGAGCCTATTTGGGATCCTATGACATGCTACAGTTAAAGTTAGTTGAATGCTTATAGCTGAGGTGCACTTTGCTATGAGAACAACATGAGTATGAGCTAAAAATAAATTTATCATACCACAAAAAGACAACTTATGAGAAACAACCACAATAATTATTAGAATCATGATATTCTGTGAAATAGCGTATCCGAATGGGGGAGTTTGCCAAGTAGCAAAGCATAAACAACCCAATAAAAGGTAATAAAATTGAAATACAATTTTTTTTTTTTTTTTTTTTTTTTTGATATGATAATTCAAAATTAAACTAGATTTGACAAAAAGGCAATCAAAAGAAATCAAGTCTATACTCAATTTCCAAGCATAGTTGGGACGATCCAAATTGCAGGCGGCGTGATCCTCTGTGAAGGATCAAGAATGTAATGTGTGCCAAAGCTTCCATTCTCTACGTTGAAGATACCAATATCACGGCGCCCATTCGGTGGGTAAGCTAAAAACATATAATAATCATTGGTGTAATATATGGAATTTGGCTGGCATCCAGGGAACTTTGAAGCTGAAATACAAGTAGAATGGCTATCTCCCAAAAACATTGTGTCTCCGCCCAAGCGCTTCACTCGAATCCGCTTAGTATAACCCTTCTTGTTTGGCGGTAGAAGCAGCTTGAAAACCTTGAAGCCCACAGTTTCATGTTGAAAATCACCTCCTATTTCTTTCATAAACCGTTGCACAACAAGCAAGTCTCCACTAGATGATTCCACGAGATATGTTTGGTCAGCAGACACTTTGGTCCTTCGTGTAATTATTTTAGCTTTACGTGTCTCGTCCTTGCAATTCACCATCCTTATGACTTCACCCCAAAAAATTTGGCCTTTATAATATATGACATCAAAGATTAAATCAAACGCCTCATTCTCTAGATAAGTCCAAGCTTTGTCACCAGATTGAAAGAATGCCAAACGGCGGCGATCATCATAGATGCTGTAACTATGTAGTCATCGGGAGACAATGTCGGATCAGCCGACAATATAGCCTTGGAAACTAGGTACTCAAAACGAGGAGGTTCATTAGAGATAGCTATATCGTCTTCGTCTTCTTCTTCTTCTTTTGGGGGGTCCTTAATGGGAGGAAGCCCAATGGTAGAACCAGAGAAGGGGTTTAATAGAGTTACACCCATGTTTTCTTCAACAGTGAACAACCAACCATACGAAGAACCACAACACCTCTTTTTGTAAGGTACCCGTAATTGAAAATCATATATTTTGTTGTGGGTGATGTTGTATAGACTGCGCCTTTCTTCGCTATTATCTTTTGTAGGGACCATCAACAATGGAACTTGTGTGTAACATTTATTTTTAACATATTTAACTTTGTTCTCCATTGCCACAAACCGCCATGGTTTGCAGACTGCACCAAAGCGAACACAGTCCGATTGTGAATTTAACTTGTCCATAATCACATCCAATAAGTTCTTAGGAAGCCATGCCCAGTCCGACTCCACCAACGAATTCATATCAAAAACCATTTATTTATTTGCACTATAGCACTGCAAGCTACGTCAACAAATCTACAAGAGAACCTAATCAATTACAAAATCTAGTGAGTTTTCATAACAAAAAAATAATATCAACCTAGTAACAAAATAAGAGAAGCCCCAATGATAAGATAACTGTGATAATTCTAATTTTCAGCATTTTAAAATTTTTTGAAAATTCGTTAATGCAAGGGCATTTTCGTCTTTTCACTTTACCATCCGGGTTTGTGGTTGGGTCCAGTTACATTTCCTACATTTTAAATTATGTGGTGATGTAGCATTTGTATGGTACAATTGTGTATTTGTGGTGTAATTAGAGACAAAAAAATAAAGAGAAAAGGAAAATAATTTCAAGTGGGGCCCACCACTAACTTATTTGGCCAAGAAATCTTCTTTTCTTTCTCATTTTCTTTCTCTTTCCCGTATGCTCTCTCTCCCTCTCGGTTCCTTCTCTTTTTCTTTCATTTTGGAGACAAAAACTTTGAGGTTTGATTACTCAATCATCTTTCATCGGATTTAGGAACCGTTTGAGGCGAAACGAAGCTTGTAACGAGCTCTACGCATCCATACTATCAATTTCCAGATTTGAGTCTTCCTTGGAGCTCGAATTTGGAGGACCTATTCTAGGGATTTCGGCTTGGATTGTGAGGTAAGGACATCTTAAGCCATGGAATCTTGCTCTATAATGAATCATGCTCCTCTATGTGTGTTATAGCATGTTTAATTGTTGTTGATTTTGATTAAAATGATTTAATTGACAACATGCTAGTTATGTAAATGTGTATAACATGGTTGAATGAAAAGTATGTCTATGTGATGGTTGTTTACATTTTTTTTTGAGGTTACTAACATGCTATAATGATGCCATGAGAATATGCTTATTTATTATTGTGCTAAGTTCCCATTTGTCATTATATTAAGATCATGACATGAGCCTACATCTCATTTGGTTGCATGAAAAAGGGAAGTGGTTGTCTTGAAATGAAAATGGGGATTGGGAATGAATGTTTTGGAAAAAAAAAAAAATTTGGTTTTGACAAACCCAGTCGCTGCGGGGTTACCAACGGGCCTGAGGTTAATGTAGCCTAGGGAGAGTACCCTAGCGTGGTTGAGCTATTCGGGCCCCTCGACGGCGCCACGAGGTCACCAAGGGCCTAGGGACGGTAGCCAATCCTCCTCTCGTCGCGGCAGGGTTACCAAAGGGGGTTACATTAACTTTGAACGTGATGGTTTTGAGAATGAAAACGGGGAGTGACTTTAGCATGCATTGCATCTCACTCCATTTGCATTTGTGTGTGATTGAATTTGACTTGTACTTGTAATTCTTTTTCCCCTTCAATGCATGTCCCCAATCTTCCATTGGCCTATGCTTTATTTGGATTCACTAGGACACAAGAATTGTGTCTTAAGTGTCACCTGCTGAGCTATATGCTTACCCCTATATCTATATATATATTTTTCAGGTCTTGGAAAGGAACTGGTGGATGACAACCCACCTCAAGCTTGAACGGCGTTAGAAGTCCACTTTTGTATCTTTGTATATTCCCCATTATTTTGTAAAACACTAGAAGTGTAAAGATGTATAATTATTTTGTGGAACTTTGTTATGTAATATAACTAAAGTATTGATGATGTTTTGGATGGGGATTTGATAGTATGCAACTTGTTGAGGAATGGATGGATAATCCTAGTTTGAAGCATTGTCTAGATAAGTTGGTTGTATCATTATCTTTTGTTGCTGTGAATTCGGAATTTGAGCCATGACAGGTTAAAAATGCAATTAAATAGGTTGTGATTGGCCTATTTTTTTAAGGGAGGTCATGCCGAATTTTTTTTTGTTTAAAAAGTATTAGTTTTGAGTCGTTACAAATTTGGTATCAGAGCAAAGGTTCGAAAACCTTTAGGACGACGGGTAGAGGCCTACTTAGGGTCACATGGAATGTTGTTTGTGTTGCTTACTTGACTACTTGCTACGTGATATTTTACTTAAATGAGCATGCTTAACTGCCTATGTGCTTACTACTTACTTGTTTATGTTAAAATGTTTCTTGCATAGTCTTGCATGCTAAGTGTTGTACGGTATCAATTCTTGTTGAGTCGTCCACAGTCTTAGTGTCATGTTTCTGAATCGTTTTCTCGTTTTATAGCACAATGTCACGGCGTGAGGAACCTAGAGAAGTTGGCCCTAGGCCAACAAGGGGTGATGTTGGTGAGAGCTCCAGCTCCAATCCGGAGGAGCTAAATGATGAGAACATGCTTCTTAGGGACTTGATTCCCCCAAGAGCTGTTCCCCCAAGAAGAGAGAATGTTGAAACACCCGTACCCGTAAAAGTGGGTGAAGGTTCTGTGGCACTGGAGTTTAATCGTTTGTTGCAAAATGTCGTGAGGGCAACGATTGCTGCTCAGTCGCAGTTGGCACCACAACCTACAGTTCAAGTTAAGGAGACGCCAGCTCAGAAGCGTCTCAAGATCCTAAAAGGGTTTTCTCAGTTGATGCCGGTAGTGTTTGAGGGCAGTGCGGATCCAATGGTAGCAGATGACTACTTGGATCAAGTTGAAACCCAACTAACCTCAATGGATGTGACAGAGGATCACTTGAAGATCATCCTAGCAACTTACAAGTTTGCTATGGATGCCAAGGTTTGGTGGAAGTCGATCACCAACCAGTACAAGATTGAAGAGATGAGTTGGGACAGGTTCAAGGAGCTGTTTTATAAGAAGTATTTTTCGCTTTCCAAAAGATGGGAGTTACAAGACCAGTTTCATAATCTTATTCAAGGGAACATGTCAGTGGCGGAGTATGAGAACAAGTTCACCTCACTCTCCCGTTTTGCTCCAAAATTGGTACGAGATGAAGCTAATAAGACTCGGAAGTTTGTTTTCGGTCTTAATGATCGGATGAGGCCGTTGATCATGGCACAGTTCATTAAGGTTTATTCTGAAGCAGGGGAAAGGGCTTTGATGTTGGAGGCTGATAATAAAGAGAAAGATGCAAGAAGAGAACAATGGAAGCAAAAGAGGGGTGCAGGGCTATCTTCAGAAGGATCTTCTTGGAAGAAGAACAAGGGTGGTTCATCTCAGTTTCAGGGATAACAGTCTACAAGATCTGCTCCTACCACTCCTATGCCAGCTGGATCTGACAGGAGTGCAGTTGTTTGTTATCAGTGTCAGCAGTCTGGGCATTACAAGTCCAGTTGTCCGATGAGATCGTCTTCAGTTTCGTCAGCTCCGAAGGCTTGTTATGGGTGTGGCCAGCAGGGTCACTTGATTCGTGATTGTCCAGGCCAGGGAGCAGGCACAGGTAGTGGCAGGGGGTCATGACAGAGGCTGTCTCAGTCGGCTACAGTTCAGTCAGGTTTCAGACCGCCACCACCACAGCCTGCCATGTCTTCACAGGGTTCACGGTTAGTTAGGAGGGATACTCCTACTATGTCAGTGCAGCAGTCAGGTGTTCAGGTTGGCAGTCCTCAGGCACAGGTACCACAGGGACGTGTTTTTGCACTGGTACAGACCGATGCATCTTCTGGACCGTCAGTTCTTCGAGGTATATTTCCAGTGTTTGGTTGTTGGGCCCGTGTTTTGTTTGACTCTGGTGCATCTCATTCTTTCATTTCATTATCATTTGCACTTGCATCGGGGTTGGAAGTTAGTTTCTTGGAACGGGCGTTGAGTGTGGATACGCCAGTTGGGGTTTCAGTGTCTTTGAGCCGAATTGTGCGGGAGTGTCCCATTGTGATAGTCGGGCGGACTTTCGTGTTTAACCTTATCCTCCTGGAGATGACGAGCTTTGATGTCATTCTCGGGATGGATTGGTTGGCTTTATTTCATGCCACGATCGACTGTTACAGAGGAAGGGTTACAGTTTGCACTTCCGAGGGAGACTGTTTCTTTTTCGTGGGAGATCGGAGTGATTCCCACATTTCATCGTTTTATGGAGTTCATGGACGAAGTTATGGTGATTACTTCTTGGCTAGCCTTATAGCCGAAGAAGATGATGTTGGGAAAGAGGATTATCCTGCGGTTGTTTGTGATTTTCTGCACGTGTTTCCGGAGGATTTGACAGAGTTGCCTCCACACCGAGGAGTGGAGTTCTCTATTGATTTGATGCCAGGTACCGCGCCAATTTCTATGGCACCATATCGAATGGCCCCAGTTGAATTGGAAGAATTAAAGAGGCAGCTTGATGATTTGAGGATGAAAGGTTTCATCCGACCGAGTGTGTCACCGTGGGGCGCACCGGTCTTATTTGCTAAGAAGAAAGATGGATCTTTGAGGTTGTGCATTGATTATCAGAAGTTGAATCATGCCACCATCAAGAACAAGTATCCTTTGCCAAGGATAGATGATTTATTTGATCAGTTGAGGGGAGCCAGTTGTTTCTCGAAGATTGACTTGAGGTCTGGCTATTATCAGTTGCGGGTTAGGGATGAGGATATCCCACAGACAGCATTCCGTACACGGTATGGACACTATGAGTTCCTTGTTATGCCTTTTGGCTTGACTAATGCGCCAGCGGCATTCATGGACTTGATGAACCGCGTCTTTCACGATTACTTGGACCAGTTTGTGGTAGTTTTCGTGGATGACATTCTTGTGTACTCACGGACTCGGGAAGATCACGAGGTCCATTTGAGTATTATTTTACAGATTTTGCGGGAGCATCGATTGTATGCCAAATACGAGAAATGTGAGTTTTGGCTACAGGAGGTGAAGTTTTTGGGACATGTTGTTTCAGAAGGTGTAGTATCAGTTGATCCATCAAAGGTTGAAGCAGTTTTGACTTGGGAGCGACCCAAGAATGTGTTTGAGATCCGCAGTTTTCTTGGTTAACGGGTTACTATCGGAGATTTGTGAAGGATTTCTCCCGTTTGACAGCTCCTATGACCCGTTTGACCCGGAAAGGGGTCAAGTTTGTCTGGAATGAGGCCTGTGATTCATCTTTTCAGGAGTTGAAGATGAGATTGACTACAGCGCCAGTGTTGGTGATACCT